GCTAAGGGGAAACGGAAGAACAGGTAGCTCTCGCACGACTGCGCTAACCGAGGGCCGATTGTGTACAGCATTTATGTCTGATTGCTTTTAAACCGTCGAAGTAACGGACGCGTAAGACGCCGTATTGTTATAATATGACACATCATATCAATGACTCGTATGATCCAAGTGTCGTATTATAGACTTCGTGTGACGTCGTCGTCATCGTTGTCATCATTGGCGTTCCAGATTCTCCAAGAGCGATCTGCGACTGTTCTAGCTTATAAGTTTGCACTCGCCGCGTTCGTCGGCTTCTTCTTTTGTTTATTTTCAGACTGTCTATCGTAATATTCTTTCAGACATTATTTCAGACTATTTTCTGAGAGTGTTAAGGTACCTTTCGCCTTTCGTTTGCGGAAATCTTGAGGATCGAGGAACTAAATTTGTAGGATGTAATTAAGCTTAATTGAACGAACAAAATCTAGTCTAACGGCTGTTTCTTTCGTAAGATTTCAGGCGAACCGACTTTTTTTTTCAAGCTGCGGTTCGGAAATAACACGATATTGATATTCTTGTATATTATGACGCACAAAATGTGCTGCGTTTGTGTAGGATTTTCTCTTGATATCAATGAAAAAAAGCAACGCATACGATTATAAGTATAAATAGATCTTTCTTCTTTTTAATCATATTTTTGGTTAAGTGAGATCTAGGTATATTCGCGTCGAGATTAAAAGTCTCTTACTCTATCGAAGAAGTTTGTTCGTCGAGAAAATATTCATACTCCAGCGCAGAAGCAGGATTCACTAATTTTTCGTGGGAAGTTCTTGAGACATAGTTTTGTTATTATATCTCTACAAGTGGTATACATTCGAAACAAATACGTTGTTCTTGCCGGTGATTTTTCTACTTACGCTGAAGTATTGTCGCCGAAAAAAAAAAGAAGCACTTCATCATCGGTACGGTTAGTAACACTTGAAATTGCTAAACTTACAAATTTGTATCACCGACGTCACTGCGTGCGTCGCGCGTGTGCGTACGTATGCAGATGTGTGGTTGTGTGCGTGGATGTGTGCGTGTATGTCAGTGTATGCGCCTGTGTGTACGTGTGTGTAAAGTGTGAAAGAAAAGTCTGATTACTACCTAGAGAACGAGACATTACGCGTAACATAACTATAAGAATAGCTGCCGAGGGATGTACTGGAGGACGGCGATCATCGAAAAAGTATATAATGATCGTGAAGTTAACTCGATATATTTAAGGGGCGGGTGGAGCCGTAAACTTAGGGGTATGTTGTCGATGGAGTCATTTTTTAACGCGATTAGCAATATGTCCTTGACTGTCGATTATCGTGCATCATAGAGACTGCTCGAACATAGTGCAATTTGACTGTAAATTACGCTAGCTCCAAAACTACACTTAGCCATGTGGTGTAGCGGATCTTATAGAGACGACATTTACTTACACTTAACGACATACCGACAATTGAACGTATCTCAGAACAGTCAGTAATTTCTTTTACAATAAGTCATAATTATGGTAGGCAATAAGCATGCGCAGCATCCGTGGCCTCTTTTACGATACACACGACTTCATCTAACGTAAAGTCATCGGTATATTAGAGCTTTGTACCGCGCACGACACCACCCGGTTTTCGTTTTACGGACTGTTTTTACGACGACGTGCAATAATGAGACACGCGACGAAAGCGATATTGACGTAGACCGTAGATGATTTATAGTTGAACACATACACATTCGAAGCGCTATATCGTCCCATAAATCACATTAATCACTTATCGAAATTTGAGGAAAAGATTTCTGACTATGACACATTTCGTAACATAGGAGCAAAATAACATTTTTCGAGATAAACGTTTCAGCTGATTAAATGTAAAGAAAGCGTATCTTACGTAAAAGCCTCGTAAACAGAAGAAGAAGAAGAAGAAGAAGGTACAGGTGCGGAGGTTCGTGAAAAACGTTCGACGTATATTGAGGAAACCAAGATTCACATAATCGTGCCAGCGAGAAAACTCGAATCGGTGCTCTCTCTCTCTCTCTAATTTTTTTTTTAACTTTTTCTCACTTATTTCTCTTTCTCTCTCTCTCTTTGTCTTATCTTTTTCTCTCTCCGTCTCGCCGTATTATCCTTATTCTTGCAAAATTCATTATCACACACGCGAATGATCACGTACATTCGGCAGACGAGAAACGAAAAAAACGGAAAATGTGCGAACCTGTCTACGAGACGTACCGCTAATGTACTTTATGCAGTCGATAGATCAGTAGATCGATAGATCCATAGATCGATTGAATCACACGTCGCATCGGCTGCGCCGCGCCGCGCAGCGATTAAGTGTTTGTGTAACGATGTTTCGCATTCGTTTGCTTTCTAAATAAATACCTGTGTACATATTCGCAGCCAGGAGAATGTTCTTCGCAATGCATCCTTCTATCTTTGCGTTTCTATGCGCGTGACGAATCTTGTTCGCGGTCTCGTGTGCGTGGGAAGATCGAAAAGTGTCTTTGTTTCATCGGTCGAGAGTTTTGGTTCGGTGACAATTCTGCATTGTTTGTTTTTAACCTCCAGCAATTATTATCTTTCTCCCCTTTTCAATTCTTTCATATAATCTTTATACTTTCGAGATCACCGTGATTTGAATTTTATTCTTTTGGTTGACGTTTTTTCCCTTGATTACAACGGCTGATTATTATACAAATTACCGTAGTTATCCAAGGTATCGATTGAGTGCATATCTCAACTTGTCCCGCGCGAGAATCCAAGTCCTCCAAGTTTCTTCGATCCTTTCCGCATCATTTTCTTCCTGTCCTCTCCGTTACAGATCGAAAGTTGCGTCGATAATTATTAACGACAACGTATCTTTCATGGTTTTTCTTTTTGTTCATTGTTACACACCTGAAGCGGTGAGGAATACCGCGGACGCGGCAGACTAGTTCCAGGTTCCGACCATGTATAGGTATGAAACGTACTGCGAGAGAATGTCAATGTTTGTCGTATGTTGTTTAGACGTAAATTACTAATTTAAGTAAAGCGGATCTCTCTCAAAGTCATATCCGAGGCTCACTCGAGCCTCTGTTCTCTCTCTCTCTCTCTCTCTCTCTCTTTCTTTCGCAACTTCGGTATTTTCAACATGTAAATGACGTGACGGCCTTTGTGTTTCAGGTCGGCTTGTCGCCTGGGAGGCTTATCGGGTCCCGATTACAGGCACCACCGGCAATTCTACAAGCTACGTCAGTCGGAAAAGCAGACTTAGACATGTGGATCAGGCCGCGGGTAGGTATAAGTGCTCGAAATGCAGCAAGTCGTATCGATGGAAGCATCACCTCGTAGAGCACGTGAGAGCCTCCTGTGGTCAGAAGAAGGCGGAATGCTGTCCGTTCTGCATCTACAAGAGCAATCGCAAGTGGAACCTGAAGTCGCACATAAAGAGGATCCACCCGGATGCATGAGGATCGACTGCTTCGTGATGACTTTTACGCCGAAAGTACTCTCGACATTATCGTATCTTAGGGCGAAATTGAATCTAGTTAAGCATTCAGCTTCCCATCTGAAGGGGACCCTAATTTACTAGTATTGTATCAATATTTGTTTCTACAAATTTTCAACATATCATATAAATTTTATAGAAACGTTTTTATGAATATTTTTTCTTTGATAAACAAATTTTTTTTTTAATTTGTGTATTCATGTATGCTAATGTTTTATTATGAACGATTATAAGGGACTCCTCAAATATTATAATAGCGTATTAGCATCTCAGGCCCCGGAAAGTCATTCGTCTTCCGCCTCCCCCTCCCCCCCTTCCCCCTCTCCAACCGACATTATTTGAATACATTATTTTTAGTGATCATGTCATGTACAAAAATATTTGACAGACACTTTGATGTTCTTCAATAAAATGTCTTCGCATTTTACTCAAATCTCCTCTGCTGTGACTCGTTGCTTCGGCTCAGAATCCGTTTTCGATTTAGGTAACATATCGTTTTTGTAAGTACAAATTTACATGTTGAATTCATACCGTCCCGTTGTTTGCAACTCGTAATGTTAATTGCGAGATCGAATGTACGAAGGAGCAAAATGCGATTTTGCCAGGATATGCGAATGTTCTTTCTCCTTAATTCACACGCAATTATAATAAATGCATGAAAGAGAGAGTGGGAGCGACGTTCCTTTTAATTGTCTGAAACGAGCGGAGTTTCTTTTCGATTTGATGTTTGTCAAGTGCCCACGATTATTCGATCGATGGTTCGTCTTTAATTATTCGTCAACTTTCCCCCACGAAAAATATCGCGCGAGGAAGAGAATTCTGTCGGACTTGTCACCTCTCCCCTCCTCCCCCACTCCCCTCACCAAATGTACGCGGAATCCGCGCAAATACGATGTACTTTATTCGCGTGTTTCAGGTATTCGCTGCTGCAAGAAAGCCTGCATCAGAACCATCAAAATCAGAACCACCCGTTTCCGAGACGCGCTTCCGAAATGTGAAGTATATAACAAGTATTGCGAAATGTCAAATATACGCGTGAGTTTAGTAAAGCTCTATCTACATAGCTCGCGGAACGCAAGACGCAGATCGCAATCACAGACGCAAGATGACGATCAGCAAATGCAAAGGGCGTCATTTTACGTCTGCGTTCGAGATCTGCGTCTTGCGTCTTACTTTCTGCGAGCTATATAGATGGGCTTTAAGCGAATACGGGGCGATTCTTTAGCTTCAGGGTAACGTCGAAGATTATCTTCTCGAACGAATAAGAACTGTTTCGATCGATCACGCCATTTTGCACTTATTTCATACTCTGAAACTGGATATCAGGATTATATTAAACGAATTGTCATTGTGATTATGATTGCAGGCTTTACCAGTAATCCTACAAGCCACCTCAATTGGAAACCCAGTTTTAACCAAATGGAGCAGATTGGGGGTAGATACAAATGCTGGAATTGCAGCAAGTCGTATCGGTTGAAGCATCACCTCGTACAACATGTGAGAGACTTCTGTGGTCAGGAGTGCTGCCCGTACTGCGGTTACAGGACCAATCGCAAGTGGAACTTGAAGACGCATATAAGGAGGATTCACACGAATGTATGAAGATCGACTGTTTCGTAATGATCGACGTTTACGCCGAAAATACATTCGTCATTATTGTATTCAGGGGCGAAGTTGAATTTAATTTTGCTGGAGCATCAGTTTCTCTTAGAAAAAGGCCCTATTTCATAATATTTTATAAATATTTATTTCTCTGTATGAATTAAAATTACTATAATTTCATAGAAATTTTACTGTTTTTATGCATATTTTTTTTATAAACAAATTTAATTCAAATTAAGTAAGATTGCTTCTGAAGGATGGTAAAGAATATTAAGAATGTCAATATTTGGCTATAAGGAGCCAAAGCACGGATATGTTATAGTGCGATTTAAATATTAATATTGTTAATATCAATATATTATTGTGCGCAGATAATGTTGTTTAGCGTGAACGATGCACATGCTGAATATTCTGAGATAAATGTAATCGGCGAATCAACTTTCCACGCTTAAGCTGATCCTTAAGTCCTAGTAAAGTATTATAAATTATATTATTATTAAATATATAAATATATTATTATAAATTAAAATCCTCAGAAAACCCTTATCCTAGCAGTATTTTTTGCAACATGACAATGGAATAAAAAAATTTCCTATTAATTAATTTAGCAATTGGGTAAGGGTTTATAGGAGACCTAAATTTTTAATAACTTTACTAAAAAATCGTTTGATTCGCTGCGTATGTTTGAGAATATTCAGCATGTGCGTTGATACATGCTGAACAATTCTATCCTTCCAAAATAATATTAATATTTAAATCGTATTGTAACATATATCCATGCTTTGGCTTCTCGTAATCCAATATATTAAGTATGAAATTTAATTCAATTTATAATCATATATGTTATTAATCATATATGTTGAAATTATATTATAAGTAATTAAAGGACCTTTCAAATGTTGTAACAGTATATTAACATTAGGCCTTGAAGAGTCACCATTCACCTTCCGATTATTTAAATATAAATTTCTGACGATCATGTGCTTAGGAATATTTGACAACCATTTCGATGTTCTTCAATAAAATGTCTACCCATTTTACTCAAACTCTTGCTAACTTGCAGCTTCGGCACAGAACCCGCTTTATATTTAGAAAACGTATCGTTTATGTACGTACGAACGTACATGTTGAATTCATACCATTTCATTGTTTGACATTCATGATATTGCTCGATCGTATAAACAATTTCTTGGAATCCTTAACTCCAAAAATTCATTGTTTATAACTTGCAATCTTAATTACGAGATCGATTGAATGAAGGAGTAGGATATATGATTTGCCCAGAGTATCTATGTTATCTTTCTTTAATTCACAGGAAATTGCAATAAATGTGTGAAAAGAGACAGAGTATGAGAAACGTTCCCTTTAACTGCTTGAAGTGAGCGAAGATTTTCCTCCATACGACGTTTGTCGAGCGCCTTGATTATTCAATTGATGTTTCGTCTTTCATTATTCATCTAGCTTCTTCCGCGAAGAATATCGTGCGACGAAGAGGATTCTGTCGGACTTGTCGCCTCTCAGTGTTCGAGTCAGCGCAAGAAAATATATTTCATTCGCGTTCCCTTTGTGTTTCAGGAATGGTTGCTTCAGGAACGGTCGCTTCAGGAACACCCGCTTCAGGAACGTCGGTATCAGAAACATCAAAATTAGATCCATCCGCTTCAGGAGCGCACGCTTCAGGAACGTCCGTTTCTGAAACATCCTTTTCCGTAATGTCCGCTTCCAAAACGCGTTCCCGGAATTTGCAATACATGGCACGCAAAAACGTGATAAAAGCCATTGATGCCATCAAGGGGGGGATGTCTTTGAGGAATGCCACGAAGATGTACTCCGTGTCCGATTTGATTGTTCAGTAATACAGCAAAAAGTTCATCCTCGATTCTATGTGGAAAAGAAGAAGGAAATGTAAAGTATATGCGTGGGTTTGGTAAACGATACGAGGTGATTCTTTAGCTTTAGGATAACGACGAAGATTATCTTCCCAAACGAATAAAATCTGCTTTGATCAATCACACCATTTTGTATTTATTTCATGCACCGAAACTGGATATTAACATTTTATCTATCGGAGCTGTCAGTATAAAGCCTATTAATAGGCTTCCTACTGGTAAAGTGTTAAGATTATTTTGTTAAGCGAATTTTCATTGTAATTATGATTATAGATAGGCAGCAATCCTACAAGCAACCCGAATTGGAAAACCAGACTTAAACAAGTGAAGCGGATTGAGGATAAATATAAGTGCTGGAATTGCTGGAAGTCATATCGGTCGAAGCGTTATCTCGTGGAGCATGTGAAAGATTTCTGTGATCGGAGGAATGTTATATTGTCCGTACTGCGGCTACAAGACTGACCGCAAGTGAACCCGAAGTGTTACATAGAGAGGATGCATGAGGATGCATGAGGATGCATGAGGACTGACTGTTTCGTGATGATGACATTTGCGTTGAAAATACATTCGACATTATTGTATCCACAGGCGAAATTGAAATTAGTTATGTTGGAACATTAGTTTTCCATAAGAAATAAGTCTTATTTTATAGTATTTTATAAATATTTATTTTTGTCATTTAAAAATATAAATTTGTTATAGAAACCTTATGTAATGTTTTATGAATATTTTTTATAGACAAATTTAATTCAATTTATACATTTAGAGAAATTATATTACTCGGAGATCTAAACGGAAGAACCGGAAGAAAAATCCACAGCAAGATTATGGGACAATATGGAGGAGACACTATAAACGATAATGGAGAACGTCTCATCAACATGTGTGTGAATAAAATAATTTAAAAATATTGAATGGTTTCTACCAACATAAAGACATACATAAATATATGTGGACACAAAACACGCGAAATCTCAGATCTATAATAGATTATTATAGATTATTACACCAATTTACGACAAGAACAAACATAAAAATACGAGACGCAGAGGACCTTCCTGTGGCAGTGATCATCATTTCCTTAAAACAAACTGTTCCCATCAAGAAAAGCAGTAGAACCACAAGATACAGAACGAGACAAGATAACACAGGAAAGAAAGTATAATCTTGATAGCTTGGAGCACGAAAGCGTAAGAAATCTATGCAAAAACAGATTGGATGATAAATTAAATACAAGAAATGACTTCAATGCAACAGAAGAACAATATAACCATATAAAAAATTATATACATTCGGCAGCACAAGAAACTTTAGGTTTTTATGAAACAAATAAACATAAAAAAATTATATTAGTGGGATCAAGAAGTTGAACAGGAGATAGCAGAAAAAAAGACGAAAGTATCAGAAATATTTATGCACAAAAAAGAATGAAAACATGATTGCATACAAAACAGTCTAAACTAGAGTCTAGAAGAAAATAATAGAAAAGAAAAATGAAGCATAGGAAAGAAATTATAACAAATTCAATACATAATTAGGTGGAAGGAAAAGTACAGAAAGTTAGAGACTGATCAAGAACTTGCGACAAGAAAAAAGAAGAGATATAATATCACCGATCACAATGGAAAAATATATATATAATAAAATAATATATAGAATAACCACTTTGAACATTTACTAATAGAGGACAAAATTAACTTTAAAGACAACGAAAACACAGACCAAAGTACAGGTAGTAGCTTCCCCAATAAGACACTGAATGAAGTAGAAGTGACAAAAATATATAAAGGATTAAAGAACAGAAAAGCTTCAGGCCCTGGTGAGATTTCTTTAAAATTAATAAAATATGGGAATAAGAGGTTATTCGGATAACTGACTCAGTTATTTCAAAAATACCTAAATGGGGCCGAGATCTCCACAGAGTGGAAAATATCTTATATCTCAACAATACATAAAAAGGCAGCAAAGATAACTGTGAATACTATAGAGGAATAGCCGTCACAAATTCACTGAGTCGTATATATGGGACAGTGTTAAGGAATATAATTGTACATGAATATACAAACTTAAAAGAGGAGTAAGCAGGCTTCAGGGCTGGAAGATCCACAGTAGGTCACCTGTTTTGCGTAACCCAAGTAATAGAGAAGAAAACGAACTAAGAAATATACCTGCTGTACGTTGATCTCAAAGAAGTGTACGATAGTGTCCCCCTTAAACACCTTTGGGAAGCACTAGAATTGAGTAATATTATCACAAATCTCATACACAGGCCAAAATAAAAATAGAAAGCGAACTGTCAGAAAACATAAATGTAACTAAAGGACTCAAACAGGGTTGTTGTTCGTCACCCACATTTTTCAAAATATAATTAGAACAAGCTCTTAAAACATGGAAGAGGAAATGTGAAGGAATGGATATTCCGCTTAATAACAATAAAACACTACATATTATGTTTTGCCGATGATCAAATAGTGTTAGCGCAAGACCATGACGATCTGGAATACATGGCGCGAAAGCTCATAGAAGAGTACAAAAAATGGGGCTTATAGGTAAATATCTCAAAGACAGAAAGTATATGTATAGGAAGCGGACAATAAGATATTGCAAGATGGACAACAGATCTGACACTGTGAGGAATATCAATATTTAGGATTAAAAATTATACACAATGGCATCTTAGACGAAGTAATAAGAGAAATAAATTTACAAGGAAGGAAGGCTATATCTATGCTGAATAGAATTCTATAGGATCAGAAAATATCAAAAACAAATACACAAAAAGTACAAATAATAAATAAAAAAATAAGCAAATAAACAATAAATATATAATACGATAGTATGAAGCATTATAACGTATAGCAGTGAAATATGGTAGATTAAAGGAAGAATGGAAAAAAATATTAATGACTACGGAAATGGATTTCTGACGAAGAGCGGCTGGAAGATCAAGGAAAGAAAGAGTGACTAACAACAGAATATCAGAGAAATAATAATGAGAATAAAATACATGATAGTTGACGATATCAAGATGAAAAAATTAACGTGGTACGGATACGTACGGAGGACGATGACGGAGGATAGATTGTCAAAATAGATACTAAACTGGACATCGCCGAGTCGAAGAAGACATGGTAGACCAAGGAGAAGTTGGAGAGAAAGTATCGTTAAGGAAATTAGAGAGAGAGAGAGAGAGAGAGAGAGAGAGAGAGAGAGAGATGACGACTGGGAGTCGGAAGACGTCGTAAAATGTTGTAAACCGATATATATATATATAATTCAATTTATATATTCATGTTGAAATTTTACTGAATACAAGGAGGAATCACTAAATATTAAAAAGATATATTAGCACTAGAAAAGTCACCATCTGCGTGCCCTGCCCCTTTCCCCTCTCCAACATTATGTGAATATATATTTTTTTTGGCGATGATATATAGAGTGTTGTATCTACATATTGAGTAATATGTTGGGTTGTCGTTGTAAAAACACGTACGAATGAGTGAGAGCGCGCACGCGAATTCGGGTCGATTACGCGCGCTCTCATTTTCTCATATGCCTTTCCAGTGATAACCAGTGGCATACTGCTCAATATGTTGACGCAACATTCTGTACATAGGAATATTTGACGGCCACTTTGATGTCCTTCAACAAACTATCTACGCAATCTATCTACAATCTATCTACAATTTTACTGAAACTTTTGCTTCGGTCCAGAATCTTTAGGAAACGTATCATTTTTATATGTACGAACTTATATGTTGAATATTATTTCGTTATCTGGGGCTCGTAATATTGCTTGTGAAATCACATGAACGATTTCTTAGAATCCATAACGATTCGTTATTTGCAACTTGTAAACATAATTATGAGATCGAATGAACAAAAGAGAAAAGAATGTATGATTTTTCCAGGATATCCATGTTATCTGTCCTTAATTCATACGGGATTGCATAAATGCATGAAAAAATACAGCAGAAGAAACGTTTCTTTTAATTGTCAGAGTGAACGAGTGAATGAGTGTTATGATTTATTGTTTGTCTAACTTTTCTCCGTTCGAAGGTCTTTTGTTATTCGTCTACCTTTATCCATGAATATGCAATAACGCGCGAGGAAGACTTTGTCCAACTCGGTGTTCTCTTAGTGTTCAAGTCCGCGCAAGCGTATTTAATTCGCGTTTCTTTTGTGTTTCAGGAACGGCTGCTTCCGGAACATTTGTTTTCGAAATGATACAATCAGAACCGTTCCCTTCAGAAACGATCGACTCAGAAACAAGCAATTCAAGAAGGTCCACATCTGACACGTTTATCTCGGAAACGCTAAAAATAGAATCGCCTGCTTCAGAAATGATCTTCATGTCTGATTTAGAAATGACCGACTTAGAAACGATCGATTCCAGAAAGTCCGTTTTTAGGACGCCCGCTCCTGGAACATCCGCTTCTGAAACGCGTTTTCCAAGTGGTAAGTGTAGGACAACGTCGCCCGATAATTCTGATGCAGGCCTTCGATGCTATCGCCCACGGGATGAACGCTCTGAGGAAAGCCGCAGGTGTATTCTATACCCAAATCGATTTTACGTAATCACAGGCTTATCCACGATTCTATGCGAGAGACGCACAGAGTGCAGTGAAAAAAGTATACGCGATTGTTTATTAAATAATACGAGGCGATTCTTTAGCTTCGGTATAATGGAGGAAGATTATCTTCTTGAACGAATAAGATCTGCTTCGAATTGTCATTATGATTTCAATTACATTGTAGGATAGCAATCCTACAAGTCACTTTTCCGTTTTAGATACAGAAAATGTATCGTTTTGATATGCACAAACTTACATGTTAAATTCATGTCATTTCATTGACTGGAACTCTTGATGTTGCATTTGAAATTGTATGGTCGATTTCTTGGGATCCGTAAAGATTCGTTGTTTGGAACTTGTAATCTTAATTACGAGATCGAATGAACAAAGGAGAAGGATGTATGATTTCTCTTGGGTACCTATGTTCTTTCTCCTTAATTTTCTTGGAACTGTGACAAATAAAAAAAATTACACTGTGGAAGAGACGTTTCTTTTAATTGTCTGTGAGTGTGCGAAAGTTCTTTTTGATTTGTCGAACGTCTTGTTTATTTGATCGATGGTTCCCTTCAATTATTGCCTTTCTCCACAGAGAATAACGCGCTCGGAAGAAAACTATCGGATTCGTTGCATTTCAGTGTCCGAGACCGCGCAAGCACCGTGTATTTTATTCGCATTTTCTTTGTGTTTCAGGAACTGCAGCTTTAGGAACGTTTGTTTTAGTGAGGCGTGGTTTAAAAAGGATAAAATTAGGATCGCCCTCTTCAGAAACAACCGATTCAGAAACGATCGATTCAGTAAATCGAACTTTTGAAGTGCCTGCCTTAAAAACGTCAAAATTAAAACTGTTCGCTTCAGAAACGGCCAGTTTAGAAACGATTGATCCAGAAAAGTCCGCTTCAAAAACGTTCGCTCGTGGAATTCCCACTTTCGAAATTATCTCTTCTGAAACATATTTTCGACTCGGGAAGTATCGGAAACGTATTTCGAAAAATATGATGAAGGCCATTGATTGTGTCGTCGACGGATGCCCCTGAAGAAAGCTGCACAGAGATACGCTATATCCAAATCAACTTTATATCGATACAGTAGAGAGCTCATCCCCGATTCTAGACGAAGAACAAGACGCGATGTAAAGTATACGCGATGGTTTAGTGAACGATACATTTCTTTAGCTTCGGCATAACGAGGAAGATTATCTTCTCGAACGAAAAAAATCTTCCTCAATCGCACACGCAATTTTGCACTTATTTTGTCTACCATAAACTAAATGTTAAAATTATATTATTAATCGAATTTTCATTGTGATTTCGATTACAGGCAATAGTAATCCTATTGACTACATTAAGACATACAGAAGCAAACTCGAGAATCTGAAGCGGTTTGAAAAGTATAAATGCTCGAATTGCGGCGGAGTGTATCAGTTGGAGGATTACCTCGTACAGCATATGAAAACCTCTTGTGGTCAGAAATGTTGTTTGTACTGCAATTACAAAACTTCACGCATGTCCACCATGACGATATACATAAAGACCAAGTATTCGGTTTAATGATAGTCGATTTCACGACGTTTATATCCAAAGTACATTTGACATTATCGTATTTAGGGGCGGATTTGAGACTAATGATGCTGAAGCATCTGCTTATTTAAACTCTTGCTGACTCGTTGTTTCAGGCCAGAATCCGCCTTAGATTTCGGTAACGTATCGTTTCTAAACGTACAAATTTTCCATTTGGAAGGTAGTTCCATTTTATAGTATTTTGTAAACCTTCTTGCTATACATTTAAAATATTATAAAAATTGAGTAGGGATACCGCAGCATTTATAACTATTATTTCTTAAAAACATTTTCTTAATTTTATTCAATTCATACATACATGTGGGCTAAAATTTTATTAAGATTAATAATAAGCGGCCTCTGAAATATTATAATAGTGTGTTAGCTTTAGGCGCCAAAAAATCATCATCTATTCCGAAATTATATAAATGTATTATTTTATTAGGTGTACAACTTTGCTCTCGCCGTTTTTTTTTTAATTTGAGGCTTTATTGTAAAAAAATGGAGATAAAGTTATGACTCAAAGTATTGTCCATCACTGGCCACTACTTTCTCCCATCTTTTGGGCAATGCACGAATCCCGCGTCGAAAAAACTGGTCATCTTTTGAGGTAATCCACGAATCTATCCATTTTCCGACTTCTTCATAAGACTGGAAGTGTTGGTCAGCCAGGCCGTGTGCCATTGATCGGAACAAGTGATAATCCGAAGGTGCAACGTCTGGAGAGTACGGCGGGTGGGGTAGGACTTCCCATTTCAACGTTTCCAAATATGTCT